AGGGACAGACAAGGTAGGAAATGCATCATCATTAACAAAATGATGTTATGTGCATGTGTAAATATACCACAAGGAGCTTCATCTTAATGTGTGTGTGTGGAAAGCATCAATCAAGAATGGATAAATAGATGAGTTTGGGCAGGTTCACTGGAGGAGGACTTGGGTGAAAAGTGGGGGGAAGAAAGGGAACCGAGAAGGAGTGGGTCAGTTTCCATGTATGTGTGATTGTGTTGGGATGATCCAGCTACCATGAATAACTATAATGCTCTAATAAAAWTTTTTAAAAAAGGATTTTGAAATTTACAGAGATATATGTTCAAACTGCTTTGAACAGTATATAATGTACACATGTATTAAAACTTCACATGGAACCCCTTGATATGTATAATTCTTATGTTTTTGATGTGTTAGTTAATAACATAAAACAAAAAGTCTGCTCACAAGGGCACCAGCATTGTCTAGAAGGTCACTGATATGATTGCTAAAGGTTGGGGTCTGTGGTGGAATTTCTGGTTTCAGAACTGGGATCCTAAAAGTAAAGGGGGGAAAAATACTGAGAGACCCCAAATGGATGCCATGAAAAGATAGAAGAAAAATGTGTGCAATGGTGCATACAGTCAGAAAGGAGGAACCAGGCAGGGGCCTGAACCTCAGGGAGCTAAGCCTTGGGTTGAGAGATCACAGGGAACCACATGGCAAAGCACCTGGCAGGCAACTCAGATTCTGCCTGATTTCAAGAAGKAAAGCAAAACTCAAGGATGGATGATCAGGAGACTGAATGCTGACATGCATCAAAAGTTTGGTTGTTGGCTCAGTTTCCAGACCTTGGCCATGTTTCAGAGCCTAAACTCATTCCTAGGAGGAGAGCCAGGCTCCTATCTGGGGAGAACCTCTAACACCAGGGCCAGTTCAGTGTCCCCTTTCAGCCTGCCCCACAGGGCCATCCACACATTCACTTTTGTCTCTGTGCATAGAGAAACAAAATATGCAGACATGCATCCTGTAGACAATGTGAGCTGAGCTCATATTGAATCTATCACCRTGGCCCCCTGGTACTGAGAAGTTTCACATGGAGTTAGGAATAAATGGACCTGTCCCTAGTCCAGCTAATAGGGGTCATTTCAAATTCCCTGAMTTTGTAATAGAAATGCACAATCATGGGCTTAGTGAATCATCACTACCCTAGGGAAAGCCAAGTACAATCATTTCATACTGCCTTTTATTAGACCAGGACACAAAGAAAAGACCACTGACTCCAATTAAAATCAAATTAAAGCAGCTTTTTCTCTTACTGTTCTGGGCAAGTTAACTCTTCAAGGACAACACCTAAGAAGGGGAGGGCTTCTTCTCCCCTTTCTTTCCTCCCCCTGCCAGCTGTTACCATGGAGCCCAATTGTAACTTATCTTAAAAATATAGACATCTCTGTGAAGCCCCATCTTAAGGCCAGAGGCCTTGTTTGTACATTTCTACAAACTACTATACTGGATTTTTTTTGTGAAAAACTAGTAAGGGAGTGTCCAGCACCTGGAGTGTTCATATCTTTCTGGCCAGTGGCCAAGTAAAACAGGGCAACATGAAAATAAGAAGTTTATCTACATTGAACTCTTTTGCAGAGACTCTTGCTGACCTAAAATCAGCCATGGTGAAGAGGGCTTTTCTGTGGAGAAAGTGGGTGCCACTTCAGTACAACTACTTTTAAAAATAAGCTAGTTGGGAAATTAGGAATGAAACCACCATATGATCCAGCTATCCCACTTTTTGGTATTTATCCAAAAGAATTGAAGTCAACTATAGAGATAAAGGTATAACCATGTTTATAGCCGCACAATTGACATAGCCAAATTATAGATCCAGACTAGTTGTCTGTCGACAAATAGGTAAAGTAAATGTATATACACACAATGGAGTTTTATTCAGCCCTAAAGAAGAGCAAAATTATATTGTTTGCAGAAAAATGGATGAAGCTGGAGGGGATCATAGTAAGTGAAATAAACCAGACTCCAGAAAGTTAAGGGTCATATATTTTTTCTCATATGGAGGTCAAGGGAACAAAACAAGACAAAAATATGAAAATAGAAGGGAGACCAGTAGGGTAGAGAAATAGGATCAAGGGGTGGGAGAATGGGAGGAAAGGGGAGGTACTAGTAAATGAAAATTTTCACATTGTGTTATACATATGCATGTAGGAAAAGAATATGTCATAATGAATCCTACTATTATTTTTAAATTTTATTTAATTTTTTTAGCCATGCCTTGGGCTCAAACAYAGGGCCTTGTAAATTCTGGGCAAGCACTCTATCACCCAGCTATGCTCGTGTGACTTGAAGCTTGCTCAGGAAATGTTGCAGTGAATTGGGTTGACATTTTACATACCCCAGGATCAGAAGTGAATTTGGGAAATAAGAGTATAGTTATGTGTAATTATAAGGCAGAAATTTAAAAGGAGAAAAAAAATTGTGTAAAATATTTGCAATGGTTTATTWTAATTTAACATAATAGTGAGATGTATGTCATATTCACACCTGCACATAGCACAATCCAGTATATTTTGTAATCCAGTACTTCTCTACCCCCACCCTTCATTCCTCCCTCTCCAGCCCCTTCCTTTACTCTATTGTTTTCCCTTTGATAAACCCAGTCTAATTCCCTCTTAAGGTCAGGAGCCATCTTGTCAAAAGTTATAAAATATTCATTTCTGTTTTCTATAAAATATTAGGATTTCTATTTGGCCTGGCCATATTCTGATGTTTTAAACTTGCTTGCAATGCCTGTCTGTGCCTTGAACTCACCCACGCCTGGCTTTCCCTGACCAGAAAACAACCCTCTCTGAAACCTCAGTGGCACCATCACCAAGAATCACCTCGGAACTTTCTGTGAGACAGAATGRCCCACCTTTGGAGTCAGCTGACCCCCTGAGGGCACCTTTGATCCCCAGGTGGCATGGGCTATAACCAATGCCACTCTTGGCAATCCTGGTCACCTAGATCAGATAGGATATATTCTACCCTGGGCAGAAGTGACAACTAATCCACCCCCATGGATGAAGGTTTGTAGGGTCCAGAATGGATAGGGAGGACAAGCCCTGATGGTGATCAGAAAAACTCCCCTGGGCCTCTTAACCAAGACCCTGTTCTATAGGATGCTCAGAAGGACTTCCTTCCTCCCACCCCCCATACACTTCAGTTCYTCTTCATCTTCCTGCTGCCAGTTGAACCTGCCCCACCAACTGCCTCCCTCCCCCACCCCTTAGCCACTTTCACAAACACCTCATTCCACCACTTCTTCCACTCCACCTTCTCCAAAGAACCAGCCTCTGTTCTTTCCCCTCCCCATACCCTTATGTAAGCTCTGACTCAATTCCTTCCCCTGGCCTACCTGTGGGCTCCATTTCTATTTCTATCCCAGAAGTAGAGGCACTCCTGCCTTTGTCCTTCCTCTCCACCAGGTTCCAGAAAGTTGCTGTATGTATGTTCCATTTTCCATGATGGATCTTTACAACTGGAAAAACCAGAATCCCTCATTTAGTGTGGGATCCTAGTTCCCTGATTTCCCTGGTGGATTCTTTCTTGTTTAATCACCTCCCCACCTGGGAGGACTGCCACAGACTCTCCACCCTCTTCACTATGGAGGAAAGGGAGCGAATCCTGGCAGAAGCAGCTAAAGCTCTGCCTGGAATAGGCTCTCTTAAAGTGACAAGAAAACACAAGTGATCGACCTTGCTTTATCTAAAAGGAGACCAGACTGGGACTATGGAACAGCTGAAGGTAGGAGAACACTCAGCAAATACACCAGGCTCTGTTAGAGGGTCTTAAGAGGGCAGCTTGCAAGCCCACCAATCTTTCTAAAGTAGCAGAGGTAAAATAAAGCCCAGCTGAATCGCCTTCAGCATTTCTGGAATGGCTCCTAGAGGCATACCGTCTATATACCCCTATAGACCCTGAGAACCCGACAAACCTGAAGGCGATTAACCTGGCTTTTGTAACTCAGTCAGCCCCAGACATCCATAAAAAGATTCAAAATATAAATGGCTTTGAAAGGAAGAACAGGTCAGAAGTACTAGAGATAGCCCAAAAGGTGTTTGAAAAATAGAGGCAGTCAGGATGATCTAGAAGAAAGTAAATTGAGCCTGATAAACTCAGCCTAATACCCTCTTAAGATTATATAAGATTTATAGTAAAGATTTGGCTTTACTATAAATTACTGCGATTTCTAAACTTGCCTGCAATGCCTGTCGGTGCCCTGGACTCACCCATGCCTGRCTTTCCCTGACCAGATAACAACCCTCTCTGAAACTTTGGTGAGACCTCATAAATCTTGGCCTTCCCTGGCCAGATAATGATCCTCCTGAGACTCTAATGACCTTCATAAATATGACCTTCATAAATTCTGATGTTGGGGACAGCAAAAATATAAGCTAGCCTTTGTGTTACGCTCATCAGAGTTTTGTTACATGAAAGTTCTCAAACCTCCCTTTGTGTAACTTTCTGGGCAATAAAGTTGCGCTCCTAGAGAGCTGCGTGGCTTCTTTTGTTCCTATGGTTTCGGGTTGGGAGAGGCAGCCTGGCTAGGTGAAGTTATAAGCTTGCTTTAATTTGATTTCAATTGGAGTAGGTGGTCTTTGCGTCTTTGGTCTAACACAACCTGTCGTCGGAGATGTGGACCCTTGGGACAGAGCCCACAGGGCAAGTTTGGGGACTGAGGAGGAGAAGGAGGTGTCCCCTTAAGTTCCATCCCGGAACTCACCAGCCCACTTCCCCCAAAGTAAGGCTGGAGCTGAGTGAGGATGCCAAGAAAGATCGCCCCTGAGGCACCGCCAAGGGTCGGGAGGGAGCTCAGGAGCCCTGCCAGCCCTGCCTCCTGTCACCGGGCCATTAAAGCCCGAGGCCCTCCGCCCCTGTGCCCAGCGCCCTCGTTTCCCTCTGCTGCCCCGGTAGAGACATCAGTGGCCAGGTGCTGGACCCCACCTGGATTCCCTCTTCCTGTGATAGCGCGGGGCAGGACATGTCTCCAGCGACTCCCGCTGCCTTTTTATCGCGGGCTTTAGCCACCCCCACCCCCTCGGTGGCACTCGCCGGCCGCCCTGGCTGTTACCTTATAAGGTGGACCCAAAGCAAAGGGTAAAGTTGGAGCCTTCAGCCTCATCCTCTTCCCTGCCTCCTCTCTGGACTTCTTGAGCCCGGGTGATTAACCATCTGCATTTCCACCTTCAGCCTCATCCCTTTCATGCTGAAAACACCAAAGAAGTCCGGACCCCTAATAAAGTCCCACCTGAAATCAACGTGGTTGAAGGCAGTTGTTAGGTAGCCTGCCATCAAGGAGAGTTTCGAGTAGAGTCTGTGCCCCTGGAGCCTAAAACCTTGGAGAAAAGCTTTCTGAAAGCAAAAATGAAAGCAACTTTTTAAGGAACTGTTCCCACAAGCAGGAAATGCCTTCTCAGCAAGCTCGGGCTTGCAGAAAGAATTTTTTAAAGGGGCGCTCCACCACTGGTTTCTTGGTGAGTGGCTCCTGGTCTGCCACCTCTTATATCACCGTTCAGAGGTTCAGACACAAGAACTACATAGAGAGTCCCATGTCATGGCCTGAGCCTCAGGCCTGTGGCATCAGAGAGGGGTGAATTAATTACAAAATTAGAAAAGCCCCTGTGAGTCAACAGCTTGTCAAAAGTGCAGGGCATTTGCATAATCTCTTCATTCGCCTCTTTCCTTCCACCAGAGGGCACTAACTGACAGAAGTGGAAATTGATGCAGGAAAATGTTTAAAAAAAGGAGTGCAACACTCATCAGTCAAAATGGCATGATGTCTATTTCTTCTTAGGAAATTTATTGGTTTTTTTAGTTGTAGATGGACACAACACAATGCCTTTATTTTTATGCAGTGCTGAGGATTAAACGCAGGTCCTGCCCATGCTAGGCGAGTGCTCAATGCTGAGCCACAATCCCACCCCCATGACTTCTATTTCTGAAAGTACCATCTAGAACTCTTTCAGTCAACTCTGGAGCTGATTCCATCTCCTTTTGGGATCTGGTTTCAGTTTGGTAACCTGAAATCTCCTCCTGATCCACTTGCTGTACTTGACTAATCTCCCTTCTTTTATTGTTATTAATCTAATTAGAAGAATACACACACACACACACACACACACACACAATTCATATGAACATAGCATGATTTGGTAGACTTTGTTCCTTATGTCCTTTTCTCCTCCCTCCCTCTTGATCTCCTACCTGTACTCTATTGCCAACTTGGATCTTTAAGGGGCAAATATTCTTTAGGCTTTCTATGTTCAAAATATTCTTAGTACACTTTGCAGACAAATTCTAAAGCTCTCTTCTCAAGTTCCTGTCCCTCGGTTATTCAAACACTAATCTAGACACTGCTCTGAAAGGGTTTTGTAGTTCTAATTATTAATCAGTTGACCCTCCAATAGAAAGATCTTTCCAGGTAACCTGACTGGGCCCAGGGCCATTAATGAACCCTTAAAATGAGGGAAATTTTTCAGGCTGGAGGCAAGAAGGATGAAGCAGAAGGAAAATTTAGACTCCAAGCAAGAAAAGGATTAAATGCACTGTTGGTGGATCTGAGATGTATGGACCAGAGAGAGGCCTCTTAAAGTGAAGGAGTGCCCTGCTCACAGCCAGCAAGGGAGTGGATTCTGCCAACAATCTGAACACCCTTGGAAGCACATCTTTTTAAGAGCTTCCTTATAAGAGTTTAGCTGTTCAACATCTTGATTTTGACCTTGTAAAATCCAAAGTTGAGACATCAGTTGAGACTCAGATTTCTGATCTATATAACTATAAGATAATAAATATGTTGATTTAATAAGCAGCTAGGTTTGGGTAATTTGTCATGACTGCAATASAAAATGAATACCAACTCCTTCCTATTTAAGTGAGAATTTGTCTGAATATAAAATTCTTTTCTTCAATGCTTTAGAAATAATATTTCTTAGTTCTCATGTGACCAGGGTGGCTGTCCAGGAGTCTGTTGCTGTGCTTGCTTCTTTTTTGTTTTACTTGTTTCTCAGGGCCATCTGGGAAGGGAGCCAGAAGGCTGTGAGTTTATTTAATCTGGTGAGTTTTATAGTCTACTTGGCTGCTGATCATGGTCTCTTGGAGGTGAGGAGGTTTAAATTCTTTCCCTGCTTCTTCTTAGGTATATATATATATATATATATATATATATATGACTAATTAATTGTTTTTCTTTTATTAAGATGCTACTAGTCTCTTCTTCCCTTCCCTTTTATAAAAATCAAATTCATTAAGATAATGTAAGACAATACTCCTTTTTGTATTTAAAGTTCCTTATCTTTGGGAGTATGTTAGAAAGATGTAGGCATTTGTTCAGTTTATGTGGCATATTCCCAGGGCTACAGAGGTGAAAAGGGATGCATGGTATCACTTCTGCCATGAGTCATCTTACCAACCTGTAAACTTTGAAAATCATATTTCCATGCAGCAGTATCTTCAGGTTTGCAGAGAAGAAAAAAAATACTTTTTTTTTTTTTTCAGGAACAAACACTTTAGCTTTAGACAAAATGAATGCTGGAAATATGTTAAGTACATTTTCACTTCCAGGATCTTATAGATTTCATAAAACCAGTCCAGGTTATTCTAGACCTATTGTAATTATGATATTTATTTTAAAAATATACAATCCTTTTCAGTCATTGGAAGCACACATTAATCATAGGTTTCAACAATAGTCATAATGTCAGCTCAATTCATCAGATATTATGAGATATTTTGTAACTAACAGACTTTAATAAATAAATTACAAATAGATGTAAATATTTTTAGAGATCAGACTTAGACTGTGTGAAGTGTAGTAACATTTTGCCTTTGAAAAGAAATCATCAATTTTGGATTTCACATATAGAATGGCACCCAGGAAAACATGTAAAAAGCCAGAAGAACTGTACTTTTAAGAGTACTAATGAGCAAAAAATACTTATTACTGGAGCCACTTCATGGGATGCCTGGATGTATACTGCCTTGTGAGTGGTTTTCTGCCTAGAAACTGTTTAATCCACTCTTCAGCTCTGGTGGTCAAGTATCTCATGACTTAGCAACAGTTGACAGGGAATATTCCTACTAGAAACAAACTTATTTCAAATCTTTTTCCTACTTATTTATGTATTTTATTTGTTCTTTTTAGTTATACAAGACAGTAGAGTATGGTTTGACATATTTATACAAACATGGAGTACATCTTATTCTAATTAGAATTCCAGTCTTGTGGTTGTACAGATGTGGAGATTCACTGTGATGTATTTCAGATCTTCTTTTGCAAAGCGTTTTTGTCTAAGATCCCTCCTCCCCAACAAACTAACAAACAAGTCACACCAGCAACAATGATGAACAGCATTAAAGCCTCTGACTCCTGCACTACTGGATGACAATTAAAAATAGAGGTGAATTAATATTTATTCATCTAAAGAAAGCTGTGTGAACATAAAACGAGAAGCCACCAACATGCATTTCTCATGAGAATATTTTAATTTGTTAGGCATGTATCAAATATTGAATTTGACCTTGAAATAAGCAGATAATAACTTTTATTTTCTTTTTTTCTATCTTTTTATCCATAATACATTTTCTTTTTTTCCCCACAATATTAAAAAAATTGCTTCTTTCAAAGGATGCTATCCATTTTTGTTACTGTCAGAATATTTCATATTTCTTTATATCAGTATTCCTCATCTCAAAGGAATAAGCTTGCCTTCTGTATGAATTCGGCTTGTAGAACTTCCTTACTAAACACTATTTAAACCACATCTTTTCACTCTCTTATTTTGTAKAAATTCTTTCTTATAATTGGACAAATTTTTTCTTATTCCTGGACAAAAAGATGCATCTTCCTGGTTATAACATGTAGTGTCCCTGTCATTGGTGTTCCATGGCTGAGTCCAAGTGCACTGCAAGCAATGCCTATTTTTTCACAGATCCCGGATTCATCATTTATTGGCAGCCCTTGGTGGGAAGAGGATGGCTTGGGCTCTGAGGGGAAGTAGAGATGTGGCCTATGGTGAGTATGTGTTGAAATCATCAGGATTAAATAAAAATATCAATTGAAATACATTGAGTTAAAGGAAAATATTTGCAAACTATTTTTACCTGTTTAATGTCACTACTGGAAAAGTTTAAATTAAAATTGTGACATGCACTAGACTTCTGTTAGAATTCTGATCTATAGCTTCTGTATATTTTCTGTTTCTATTGTATGTCCTGCTGATTCTCATTCATATTGTTGTATCTGCTTGATTAGCATGGTCTCTGTGTGGGATATKTTATTTTAAAAGTTGCCATTGAAAGAATTTGAAGTTTATGATATTTTCTTCCTCCAGAATTACTTTCATTAATTTGTATCACACTTGGTAGTTACAAGTCCAGAATTGCTTATTCCCATTTCAGGAGTTAAAATATTTTGGGCCATGCAGAAGCCATGAGGCTGGACTGCAGTGGGTCTGAAGACTGGTTTTCCTCCAGTTCACCCTTCCTCTCAGGGTCCAGTCCTTCAGGATCACTCCACAAAGGGCAGGGAATTTATCAGTGTCCCTGATTTTGGCAGGTCCTGGACTTCAATAATTCTTGCTTTGAATTAGAAAGCTATCCAAACCTGCATGAGTCACTAAAGGAAGGGCTCCTTTTGTGATCACAAGACTGCTAATCTCATCACCACATCACTCTATCACAAGTAGGAAGCCATTAAGTGGGGTTAGAAAATCACTATAATTATATAATTCACCACAATAGCCAAAGTGTTATTGGTGGTTCCAGAATCACACTATGCCTGTAAGCATCTGTACTTTCAGTGTGGATGCCACAGGCCCTGCTGTCAATTCTTCCAAGCCAGTGACCACAGCCCAGGACCTCTGTTAATGGTACAGCAAATAAATCACATGTCTTCACAACCAGTGTGGCAGCAGGAACAACAGATGTCTGGCCTCTGTTCCAGTTCTGCCACATTTGATTCACATAATCCAAAGCACCTCCAGGAGTTAGGTTGCGAAGGAGTCTGGGAAATGTAGTGTTTAGCTTTTGTGGTTTCTGTGGAAGGTACAATAGAAAAAAGAAACAATGGATGTCATGCTCCTATTCCCCCCATTCACTCTACAGTTGAAATGCCATTAGTTTGTTTGAAAATAATAAAAAATAATATTATATCTTACTCACTGATTTATGATACATACCTGAGTACAGTATATCCATACACCTTTACCTATATATCTCCATACACAGTTACCATAAAGGCAGTAATTTCAAGCATGGGTTCCAGATTCACCCTGATGTTCAAAACCTGWGTTTGTGTTATGTGGGTACCCATTTTTCCTCAACCTCTCTCCCAGATGTTTTATTTTCCTATMTCTAAAATAGGTTGAAGTACTGTTGTGAGGCTCAATTAAAATAATGCATGCAGTAGTCTAAGTATAGTGACTGGCTCATGATTTCAGAAGTAAACTGCAGCTCTATTTGTTATGAGTAGCAGAAGATCTACGTTGCAAAACCAACTCATATCATCTTGACAATTCACTTAATTTTCTTTGGGTCTTTTGTTTTTCTATTAAAAGACAAAACCACAAGGAGAATAAATTGAGAACCACGAGATTGGCAAAAAATGCAAAATTTGGACACTATTAAGTGCTGACAAAGATATGGAACTATACAGACTCATATAATACAGAAGCAAATGCCACTAATAAATCTACTTTGGAAAACAATTTAGATTTTTTCAATAAAGGTGAAATGCACATACTTTACAACTTCAATCACATTCCTAGATACCTTTTTTAGAGTAATTTCTATAGAGAAATATGTCCTATATTTTTAAACTATCATATGCAGTGGTTACTCATTTTTCTTTTATGTCTGATAAGTGTTATGTTCATTTGGTACAGAATTAAATTTTCATAATGAAATAAAATAAATACCAAAAGTTTTTTTAAAAACAATTCTTACCATCATATGTATGCAGTATAATAAAAAATATTGTTTGATTCAGAAGTGAGACTATTTCTAGTTGACTTGGGGGCTGTAAGTACAGCTCAGTGGCCCAGCACTGGCCTTGCATGTACTAGTACTATAGTTTGGATCTAGAATGTACCCCAAAGCCCATGGATTAAAGGCTTGGTCATAGTTTAGCACTATTAGGCCTCGTGGAAACTCTAAGACGTGTGTGTGTGTGTGTGTGTGTGTGTGTGTGTGTGTGTGTGTTTGGGAGTGGCGGGGGTGAGATGTTGGGCAGATGACATGGGGGTGCTATTTGGAGTTCTGTATTCCCACCATAATGTGCTGCCTTGTCCCACAGTCCTAAAAGCGACAAAACTTTCAAAACTGGAAGCCCAATAAATTGATTCTCTTAAATATTTTGTCTCAGTGATGGAAAGATGGAAAGCTGACTAACAGAGCCAGGGCACAGGTTTGATCTCCAGCACAAAACCCAAAAACAAATGAAAAAACCTGACCTGCATTGCAGAAGAAGACAGTTTCAATTATGTAGACTGACTTGTCTTGCTCCTCTCATTGACCAAGTCTGACCAAAGGGTGAAAGGCAAGAAAGTAACTGGTACTAATTCTTCTTCTTTTTCAAGAGTCCCTATTTATGAGTTGATAGTAAAATGCTTTTCCTAAAAACATTTCTAGGTGAGAATTTATAAATCTTCCACCACCATTTTTCCTATTTTTCTGCCTATTAGCCAAATTTATGGCTTAAAGATTATGAAATTTTGCTCTAGTACCTCACACATTTTAAACTTTCAAAATGACTAAGAGTGGGGCTGGGGGGCTAGGATTGTGGCTCAGTGGTACAGCGCTTGCCTAGCGCATGCGAGGCCCTGGGTTCAATCCTCAATACCACATTAATATATATATATATATATATATATATATATATATATATATATAAAATGGGGCTGGGGTTGTGGTTCAGTAGTAGAGCACTTGCCTAGCACATGTGAGGCACTGGGTTTTATCATCAGCACCACATATAAATAAATAAAATAAAGGTCCATTGACAACTAAAAAAAAAAAACAAAATTAAAAAAAAATGACTAACAGCAACAAGTAAGAAATTACAATACTTACATTTTAAATTTCTATTGTTAGTACTAATGGAAGAAGCTTTATGAAAAACAAAACCCAGAAAATATTGATCTGAAAATCTTGATCTTTGCATTTTAGATTTGACTTAGTACTAAATAAACACCATTACATATGTTAAGTCATTATTCTTTAGAATGTGCATATATCGTTAATATTTCATATCTTTAAATAGTTTACAAATGTCATTTCAAATAAAAAAAGATATTTCAAATATTCTGAAAAAAAACTAGAGTGCAAATACAAAGCTGTTATATGAGCATATAGTCAGTCCTGCATATCTGTAGGTTCAGCATCCACAGATTCAATCATCTGCAGATAGGAAGCGGTGGTGGAGGGTTTCCCCAGGAAGTTCTTACAATCCCAACTTGAATTAGTCTCACACTGAGCATAAGCAGAATCCATGTGAATGAAGTGACTTATTGTCCTTCTGCCATTTCAGAGATCCTTGGTCTCTCCAGTACCTTAAGCCTTGTTCATGTGCTGTGCAGTTAGGCCTTTAATGGTTCTGTCTGTACTGAACACATACAGATTTTTTTTTTCTTATCTCCAGAACAGGGAGGTCATCTTAAAAGCCTTTTCAGAAACAAACTGAAATTTACCTTCAMCCCCCAAATAGAAGCCCTCAGATCCACTGTGGGCCTTAACTAACTGACAGGATCTCAAACCAACTAAACACAGAATCAAAAATAAATAAATAGCTGGGTTGCAGTGGCACCTGCCTGTAATCCCAGTGACTGGGAAGGCTGAGTCAGGAGGATCACAAGTTCAAGACCAGCCTCAGGAACAAGGCCCTAAGCAACATAGTGAGACTCTGTCTCAAAATTAAACACATAAATAAATAAAATAAAATAGAAGATATATTTCAGTGGTAAAGTGCCTCTGGATTCAATACCCAGCACCAAAACCAAAACCAAAACAACAACAAAAACCCTCACAAAACCCAAAACAAACAAAATTCAAAACAAACAAAGCCAAAAACCCACACATGCCTAAAAATCAATCAATCAATCAATAACCTTATTTTACAGGAGTTAAGAATTGTCTGCTTTAGCCAGGCTCAGTGGCATAGCCTCAGTAGGCTAAGGCAGGATGGTTGAGAGTTAAATGCCAGCTTCAGCAACTTCTAAAGGCCCTAAGCAACTTAAGAGAGAAACTGTCTCAAATAAATAAATAAATAAATAAAAATAAAAATAAAAAGGGCTGGAGATATGGCTCCATGGTTTTGTGCCCCTGGATTCAAATCCTGGGTACCAAAAAAAAGTTAAAAAAAATCTTTACATGTGTCCATTTAATTTTTTATATATGATCAGTGCTCAGATAACAGGATTGCACTGTGACCAAGTGCAATCCTGTTATCTGAGATGGAAGAATCAAACTTCAGCTGGGTTCAGTAATCTTTTCAACACATACTATATGGATTACAAAAAAAAAAATCCCCAATTTTCATTTACTCCTTGAATCTACAACCTTTTCCAATGTGAGTGTGCATCCTCTTCCATTAAAAAAAGCAATCTATGTCTCCAGTCTGTGAATCTGAGCTGGCCTCATGACTACCTTCTGCCAAGGGAAAGTAGTAGAAGTGATAGTGCCCCAGTTGGGAGCTTAGACCTCAAGAGACCTTGAGGGCTTCTGCTCATTTGCTTGCATTTCTTCTCTGTCAGAGAGCAAGTCTGGGTTAGTCTTTAGATAGGATCTTGCACATTTGAAAGTATATGCTTCCTCAGCTAGGCGCAGTGGCAGTGATGAACCCAGCCTAATTCCATTTTAAGATTGGGAGCCATCTCATCACAAAGTCATAAAAAGTTAATTTCTGTTTTAATTACTATAAATTAAATTATTGCGATTTTTAAACTTGTTTGAAATTCCTGCCTGTGACTTGAACTCATCCATGCCTGGTTTTCCCTGACGAGATAATA